TTTTTTTTTTTTTCAATCCGACCGCCTAATCCAATATCAGGAAACGCATTCGACGGTAAACGAAGAGAAAAAAGGGGATGGCCTTAGAGGAAACCAAACATCTTTGTTTTAACTAGGGGGTGGGTCATGCAATTTCCAACCTTGCTTTAGGGGTGGGTCAGTCATTTTTGTGCCGAAGGGAGGGGGTGGGTCATGTGTTTTTTATCAACCACATTTCCAAATGCTCCGGCCCACCCCCCCCTTATACTTTTTGACCAGTCCCTTAGACTGTAATTGTATATACGTTTTATGTTGTTTTTATCTATTTTAGCCATAATGTCTTTTTAGAAATTATCTATTATATTTTAGCCTAAATTATCTTTGAAAATAGTATATTTTATAGTTTTTAGTTGTAGAATCTTTATTTGTCATATCTATCATTCATACCATACAATGCCAGTCAAGGTCAGCCTTTGTACTTGCGCTCATAGTCCCATGAACATGAGTGGACCACAGGAAGATGCGACCACAAAGAAATGGAACCCAACGAAGAACACCCTCCTTGGTTCAACCGATCTGCTCTAAGATCATCATTCAAAATGAATGTTGTTCTCTATAATTTGCAGGATTTCATCAGCACACTTGACTCATAGACCATAAAGAAACTGTGTATCAGAAGCCTGAGATGGGGAATCGGAAGTCTGGATTATGTAGACTCCTTGCTCATCATGGAAGATAATGTCCAAATCTGGCTGCCATTTTGAGGGACTTGTCAACATGAAGCGTAACAGACATAAATTGAGCAGGTAGATCTAAAACCGTCAGAAATACATACGAAAGCACTCAAATAAACTTTACTTTCAATTCAAGTGGTAAAATTTGAAATTGTTCATTAAACTTAGCATTCGTACCACCCCATCCGACCATTTCTTCCAGCAATTCAAACACTATAACCAACTAGTGTTTAAATTCCTCTTGTCGATTCCACCATAAGAAATAACCTGTGCCACCCAAGCTTTGACTCGAATATGAAGTACGAATCAAATAACATAACTCAGTCATCTTTGTGGCAATATCACGCCAGTATTTTGATTTTCTTCTCTACAAGAACGGTGATCAGGAAGCGATGTTTATTTCATAAACGTGACCGCTGACAAGCCGGTGAGTGAAAAACAGCACTGCTCAGTGGCGAGGGGCAGGGTGTAGAACAATCTGCCGACTAATGTAAGACAAGGAAAATCTTGGACTGGCTTTCAGAAACTCTTAACTTTTAGTTCGAACACGGCATTCAAGGAAAACAGCCTTTAATTTTAAAATTAGTTTTATTTTTTTTTTATTTATTTCAACATTCCTCTTCTAATGCTATCACAGTTAATTCTATAGTCTGTTACCATTTTTAGGATATTGTATATTGTATATTTAGCCTGATTGTTTTGACCGTGTATAAATAAAAGTGATGATGATGATGATGATAAGGATGGTAAGGATGGTAATACTGGAAAGCCTTGAAAATCCATTTATAATACCACTGCTGATGAACTGTAGGATGGATAACCCCGAGTTGATTTCCTCACGATTGCCTTGCCCCATTCAGCAGAATGAAACATTCATCATTGACCTTAGACCCTTGGCCAATAGGAAAGATATCTTTTGTGATGACAAAAGGAGTAGAATGATGAAAGCAAATAGAGAGAAGTTGTACTCTGCAACAAACAACTCAGAAGGTCAAGTTTTTTCATTGTACAAGGATTCATCAGAAGCCGACATACAATATCAGTGAGAAGGCACCCATACACTTGCAAGTCCTGCCCTCATTTTTCACAAGATAATTGTAACAATTGAATATGGAAAGTTGATTAAGAAATGGTTTCCTTTAGTGCTTATTCATTAGTACAGGGAAGCGAAGCTAAGAAAGTTCAAAGTCGCCTCACATGCCAATTGCAAGCTTGAATCCTCGGTGCCACCATATGTAAAGACAAAAGAAAGCACAAAGCAGAGTCTGGTACAAAACCTCTTAGAGAACAAGACAAATTCAAAACGTGCACTTTTCAAGATAATGAGGATAGTGGTGAGGTTTGTGGCACTGAGAGTGCGAGTTCTTTGCCAGGAAATGTACCACAGGTCAACATCACAAAACATCAGCTGGGACTTACAACCTCTGCAGCATCAAAAGTCAACAGTGACCCACTGATGGCAGTGCTTGACCTCCAGAAGGGCTCATGTTCATGATCTGTCAGTGAAGTCACTTGTAACGATCTGCCGACGGTGATGCTCTTCATCAACCAACAAATGGATGACATCATTGGCTTCCGCCGCCATAAGAAACGAAACTTTGTTTCACAACTTGGGTTGGATGCAACATTCCAATTAGGGCCTTTTTATCTACCGCTAACCACTTGCAAGAACCATTTGCTTACTGTGCAGGGTAACAGATATCTTCTATCTCGTCTTGGGCCAGTTATGGTATGCATAACCAAAGAACAGTTGACATACCTGTCATTCCTCCACTGTTTATAAGAGCTGTACCTGGGCTGGGTAACTCTCTTCATGCAACTGGAACAGATAATGAGTCTGCCCTGCATAATGACATTTCTGCCAGTTTCCCTCAGTTACACCCGCTGCTCTGTTACTTGCACGGCAAATAAATGTCACAGAAAAGTTAGGGCGTTTGGGCCTGTCGCAAGCCCTCTGTGAACAAATTCTTGAGGATCTCTACGCCAAAGGCACTGGACTTCTGTGGTCCTATTCTAAGGAAGAATTCGACAGGAGGGTGCAAGTTCTAATGGAACACTGGCACAGGTTGGAGTCATCAGAGCACAAAGACCCACAGTTTGTGGAGTACTTCTGTAAATGTAAATTGGACGACACGAGAGACAGAATGGCCAAGTAAGTTGTGAAGGAGCTAGGGCTGGGGGAGGAGCCATACTGGCAGAACATCCCAGAAGCTGTAAACCAGGCCTGTAGCAGGAAGAGGGGCAGGGGGCGCTCGAGCCCCCCTGAAATTTTCAGACTTCAATTAAGTTCTGCCACAAAAGCGTAGTTTTTTCTACTAAAATGGACAGCTGTCAATGGAAGCTGAAGTTTCAAAGAATTGTTAATCGTCATGCCAGCAATTAATGCTGTTAGTGAAAGATAGTTTTCAGCTTTAAAGCGGGTGAAGAAGTATTTGCGCTCAACAATGGGAGACTCTAGACTGAGCCACCTCATGATGTTGCATGTTCACAAGAACAGAACAGATGCTCTGACCCTTGTAGACATAGCTAATGACTTTGTTGGGCAGAGAGAAAACCGAAAGCAATTGTTTGCCAAATTTCCACGAACGATATCCCAAACAAGTTCTCTATTTCGTCAAAGTCAACACAAACGGAAAATTAGAGACAAAAACAAAAGGTATTGCAGACAAATGTAGTGATCTGGCATGTAGCAAGAAGTATGCTTTAACTAAGGGACCGAAGTGGGAGGCGAGAGTTAATGTGGGCCACTCGGTCAGCCCCCAAGTCATTTTATGCTTGCTAGGGGCCTCTGTAGACGCCATGTTAAAGGAGTGGAATAACTTTGTTTTGTTGTTTCTCTGTACAATTTTGTTGAATCAAATACAATGGCAACAGAGTTAGCTTGGTTCCGACTATCAGACAAGTGCAAAGTTTGTGATGAGTTTAAACAGCACAACATGGTGAGATGACAAGGGAAGAGAGGGAAAATGCAATGAAGCAGATATCTAAGCCTTGCCCGGACCCAAATGCCTACAAGAAGAGCCGAAGCTTCAAGTTAACACAACCCTATCAAGTTCTTCAGTTCAAGCAGCATTGGTGACCTTGCACAACTGGAGGGTCAGTTTTTTAGAGAAGAAATATCCAGCCTCTCAGAAAAGGCTAAGCCCTTATCCACAACAAGGGCTTGCGAGAAGGCTTTCAAACTGGCTCATTTTTAGTTGACAGTGGTGCCTCACTTCCTTGAAAAGTACAGCTTTTGAAGAGAAGGAAGTAGTCCTGTTCTTGCAGTTTTTTTTTTCAGTTCCAACAGTACCAGTCATCATTGTGTCGCAGTTGCCATCCAAACAGGAAGGGTAAAGCAGATAGTTGCAAGTTTCCCAGGAAGGAGTTTAACTTGGCTCAGCACATCTGCACCCAAATCAGTTGCAGCCAAAGTGCCACCTCAAAAGCGTTCACGAGACGAGGCAACAGTATCACCCCAGATTGCTGTGGACGACCGCCACTTTATTTCTGAAACAATTGGTGACACAAGTGTGGTTAAAAGAAGTGTGCCAAACCCAGTGACCCTCCATCGAATTCACCCTTTGTCCCGAAAAGTTTTAGCAGGGGTATTAGAAAATGTCCTGGATGCAAGAAACCACTGTCCACAACTATTGAGGGCTACAATGAGGAGGATGACAAGGAGTATTGCTTTGGCCATTTTGAAGCGTACAACTTCTGCAACAAGTCCACCAAAAGGCACCAGGCAACAACTTCGACCTAGCATTATCACCTAAACCCAGTTTGCACCAAGGTGAGGCAGTCTGAAGGCACATTAAAAATCAGCACTTGAAATGTGCAAGTCAGCCACCACCTACACACAAAATACAGGAGCGATTTCCATATAATGTCATTTAAAAGAAGACCTGAAATTCACTGTATGTACATAGCCTATTTTTGACTTGTAAGCTGAAAATTGGAACCCATTTTGGTGGACATATTTTTAAAGAAATCAATTCCAAGAAGTTCAACAGCAGCCTGCAGTTTTTAACGTAGATTATCGAGATCAATAAGAAACAATGATGTACCAAATTTTGAAGCGGAAAATGAAAGTGTGATAAGAAACTGTTACTAAAAATCAACATTCAATGATGACCATTGCTATGAATTACATCAGACAACCTATTTCTCCTGCTCCTATTGCAGCAGGCTAAGAGAAGAAATCAATACATTACATGAATGATTACTTCATTCACCCGAAGATAGTAGCAAAAGAGAGGAGTCATCCCAGGTCCGGTTTTATCAAGCAAGTTTTGCAAGCTATGCAAGATAGGATCTGGGTGCTAGAATCTCAGCTCCAAAAATATCTTCAAGCTCTCCTCAGTGATTAAAATCACGAAAAGGCTCTGGATTCCACCACAAATAAATCGAGTGAGAGCTCCTTGATGCTTTAGTGCCAAGGGTCATGCGCATGATGGTCAACCGTCAGTTCAATTATTTGCTTCCAATCAGTTGGGCCATTATCCAAAGCCATTGCCCTTATCAGCAATTCAGGAGGCCAGTGAAGAGAGAAAGGTTAGCACAGGATCGCCCGAGTGAACGAAGATGCAAGGCAGAGGAATGGAGGGCTTTGCATGACCGAAACAATACTTTTGCACAGTTGGTACACCGCATTTTTTGGCAGTGCCTAAACGCTCTGCTCTCACATGTGTTTAAGTTGCTCCCACCTGGTCAAAAATCCTGGAACCATCAGCGTTCTGGTTCTTTTATTAATGCCACGTAAGAGAAAGGGCAAGTCATTCAATGAGGGGATTATGGAACAAGTAACTCAAATGGATGGGTACGCTTAGATCAAGGTAATATATAACCTACTCTCTTGCATTGTCCGAGTATTCTCACTGCCATTGAATTTGCATAACTCACAATCTTTGAAGAACCCGTTTCATGGTTACTGCTACTGTTAAGAATATGCATTGCAAATAAACCAGAGCACATGCTGCAAGTTTGTAGGATTGACAGCTACGTATTGAATTTATTTGGTAGGTTTTAACGATTTATTTCAACAAATGAATATAGCAGACCAAGTCAAAGCAGTAAGGACCTTTTCCATTTTGTTTTAGATTTTTGGGCATATTTTGCAGTTGCCCGGCACTGTTAACAAGCTTGTCAGCGATTTAGCTCCACAATGGACTATCGAGAAAGCTTGTCCGATGGAGTGCCACGCTTTGCATTTCTACTTGCAAATGATTCTTCTCACTTGTTTTTTGCTTTTTCTGTATGAGGTGTGTTTGCTACTTTATCATTTGTTGTACAGTTTTCTGGATATTAAACGGCTTTTGCCTATTGGTATTAACAGTAAGCTCACTGAAATCTGGTAATAAAGAGTCTAAGATAGCTGGACAGCTGACCGTAAGTAAATTTCACGTGTAGACCACAAAGCACATGCCTGGTCAACGCAGATTGCAGTCCCGTTTGTTTTTTTTGTTGTTTTTTTTTTATATTTAATATGTCTGTTATTTCTTATAAAACTACAATTACACAGTGCATACTTACTATTACACTAATAATACTAAAATAAACTTACTTACACACTTACGCAGTAACCAAAGCATAACAATTACACAGTGCCTACTTACTAAAATAAACTTACTTACACACTTACGCAGTAACCATAGCATAACAATTACACAGTGCCTACTTACTAGTACACAGTATCTTAAAAGTAACAATATAATGCAACGACAATTATAATAATACTAAACCTAACTTATAGAAGCACAGAGCCAGAGGTTATCGCCCATTTCCTAGTAAATTTTTCTATTGTATTGTTTTTAATACATATATATTTCTCTGTCTCATATTTATTTTTGACCTTTAGCTTGAAACCAGTTATATTTGGAACCGTTTCAGACCTTCTACAATCCCAAAGATATACCTTAGCAATCAGTAACAAATAATTGAGTAAGGGGCATTTAGAGGTTATTATTCCTATCAATACGTCTTGCAGAGTAAGGTGAAAGAATTCCTTTGTTAAAGAATAGTAATAGGATTCTAACTGTTTCCAGAAAAGCTGGGAGTGCACACAATGGAAGAAGAAATGAGGTAGCGTTTCTGGTTCTGACTCACAGAAAGAACATTTATCATCCGCAGTATAACCTATGTTATATAATTTGCTGTTAGTGTATAATATAGAATTAAGAATCTTGTACTGAAAAGCTCTAACATATGGTTCGAAGGCTAGATTATGAGGCAGGATAAGAACTTTTTCAGTTGATCATCGGTTAAGTTAAAATCATGTTTCAGAAATCGTGAATTATTTGGAAACTGTGCTTTTCTGCTTTTAATCAATAGGTAATAATCTCTCGACTTCTTTTTCAGCGCATCAAAATCCTTGTTTGTGTCAAGGATGCAACATGTAGTATTTTGCTGTCCACCAGTCACATGAGTACTGTTAGTATTATTTTTGCATAAATTTCAACGTTTTTGGATTTTTCACCTTCATTAGGTAAACATTGTCACTTTTTTTGCTTTGGGCAGTAAAACACTGAAAAGTTGGTTAAAATTGTAAAAGTGATGCGCACCATGCACAGCCACGGTGGAGCATTTCGACTGAACTCATGCATTAAATTTTCTTGCCCTCCTTTGCTAAAGAAAGTTCGTTGTATCCTCTAGCACTTGAACCTGTTTATCCTCTGAGTGAAAGATGTTATCTTGTATTCAACTTTAATCTAGATGCTCCAAATGCTTTTCTCTTGGTCAGTTAGGAGTAATAAATCAGACAAACTGTCACATCTGCTTTCTCTTCATTTAGGGGATTAGCGAGCATGGACTGGAAGAGCACGATGTCCTTCTCTACTGTGAAATACTCATCTGTCAGCCATACAAATTTAAAGAAAGAACAGTCGAAAGAGGCAAAACTTGGGAAGAAATATTGAAATACCTTAATACCTGTAAGACCGCCAAATTCCGTGTAAACAAGCGATCTGTAAGAGAGCGATTCAAATTAATCAAGGAAAAGTTTAAGCGTAAAATTCCACAGGAGAAATATTTGTTGGGGATTGAAGTGGAACCCACATTGGAGCTCAAACAAGCCCTAGAAGAGATTTGCTCTTTGGAAGAATCTTTCCCGGTTGAAGAGGAAGAATCCAAGCAAGCCAAAGGAGAAGAAAACAAACAAAAAGTAGAAGAAATTCGAAGAAAAAGCGATGGAGAGCTATGGTCAGACCAAATCAACAATTGCCGGGGATGAAGTTCCTGTCGAACCTAAGAAGAAAAGGAGAACAGGAGGCAATGATTCCATTGAACTTCGCAGAGAAAAATCTCAACTACAGCTTCCAGTCAGGAAGAGAGAGTTAGAGTTAAAAGAAAATTAGACAGCCCAATCATTTGAGCAGCATGGGGAGATGATGCAATTGATGTAGCAGCAACAACAAAACATGATGGAGCTACTGTCGAAACTGGTAAACAAGTGACTACACTTAGCCTTTCATTTTACAGTGACTGTAATTGTGTTTCAAAGTAGTTCAGCACGGTGTAATGTATCGATATTATTGTCTACTGGAAGTTGTGTTAGCGGAAGTTCTCGGTTACTGTAAACGTGCAAAGGATCATGGATATTTGTGTGGGCCATGCTTTCCGGGTGTCATGGGGGCCGAATAAAGTGTACTTCCTTTTAAAGTTAAATCTGGTTTATTACACGGCCATCCGGACGTCATTGTTACTTTGGTGACGAGGATTCAATTCGTTTTGTGAGGTAGTGGATGTTTTGCAAGTCATTTGTGCGGAAAGTCCTCGTATTTTGTCAGGAAGATAACGGACGACAGTACAGCTTCAAGTTCACAAGCTTCGCCAACCGCGACGTTTGTTCCTCTACTTGATGTGGCCAGCCTTCCTCCCTTCAATCCAAAGGAAGATCCGAACACCCTTGCAGTTCGCTGGAAGTTGTGGAAACGCTCATTCAATCTGTATTTGGTGGCAAAAGGGATTACGAAAGATGAACAGAAAACCGCATTGCTGTTGCATACTGGAGGGTTGAATTTTCAGGGGCTTTATTACACGTTACTGACCGGTACATCAGTTTAGGCAAATGGAGCAAGCGTCAGGAGAGTCGGTGGATCAGTTTGTTTGTAGGTTGAGGCAGAAAGTGATCTTCTGCGAGTTTGAAAATGTTGATGAGGCAATAAGGGATCAGCTTATTGACAGATGCAGGGACCCTAGACTTCGCCGTAAGTTCCTTGAGAAAACAAATGCTACTCTGAATGATTTACAAGATTTGCCTCGTGTGTAGGAAGCAGTGAACATGCAGGTCAAGGCTATGGATCAGTCATCCGGTCAGGTGAATGCTGTTTCCGGCAAACATCACAGCAAAGGAAAAGGAAAAGGGACAGCGCAGGGTAGAAACAAAGGAAATAAGTCTGGTAAACCGTCGGGTGGTTCTCAGGAGACAAAAGTAAGAGGCTGTTTTCACTGTAATTACACTGACCATATGGCACGTGACCTGAATTGTCCTGCCCTTAGCAAGAAATGTAATTCATGTGGCGAGATTGGACATTTTGCAGTCTGTTGCAAAACAAAGGAACGCAAACGTCTTACAAGGGATGACGAGGAAAGGAATAATACATGGGGTAGAGCCTATCAACTATCAGAGGATTCAGCCACTGGACAACAAGATTATTATGCATTTACAGTTAAGCCATCAACTGTCTTCTCAAAGCTCGATCTTAAGTGGGGCTTCCACCAGGTGGAATTTGATGACAAATCGCGCGAGATCATGACGTTTGTTACACACCGTGGTTTGCACAGGTACAAACGTTTGATGTTCGGGGTAACATCGGTGCCTGAAAAGTACCAGAAAATTGTGGCGGATGTTTTGCATGGTTGCGAGGGAGTGGCTAATTTGGCAGATGATTTGATTGTGCATGGTTGTGGCATAAAGGAACACGACA